TTAATTGCAATTGTAAGTGCTTATTTACCACGTGCTCGGCGGTGAAAGAAAGCTTACTGAGGAAACCTGCATGTCTGAGGAATAAGAAAAAATGGGGCACGCGCACGGATATTTCCTTGCCCTAAAACTCTCTCAGAAATTAGAGGAGGCTTGTGCCCAGCAGTGGGACGTATAAAGATATTAACAACATAACAATATGTGAAGGTGAGCAATAGGGCGTGGCGGAGCCTCTATTACCCTAAAACACTTTGTTTTTAAAGTGGAGATATGTGCCCAGCAGGGGGACGTTTGTTCGTGTGAAATTACTTTACTTTTATTAGTTTATTACGTTATATAACTTTATTACGCACGTTTATTAATTAACTGCACTTTTATTAATAAACTTTTTGCTTGACAAGTTTGCTAATCTCGACATTAATTTGTATATATTTAATTTGTATATGTATATGATTTACCTAAATATTTATGTATAACTGAAATACCTCTAGACGCGGTTTCTGTGTTAATTTAGTAGACCAGACACTTAAGCAATTCCGGAGCAGGAAATAGTGAGTTACTGCTCGGGGGAGTTATTAACTAGAGAGGCTTGGAAATTGTACCTTCCTCGTGGTTGTTGAGAGTACCGCCTTTAGTTTGTCGATGGGCTTGAGATAATGAACATACCTCATATTGGTTTAATGTACGCTTGGAGTTAATGTACGTTTATTTTAGTAATATATTTTATTATTAATTTAATTAAAAAACGTTTATAATTGTTTATATTATTAATTTAGTTGACTGTCTCGTTTGTCTAGTGGTCATAAACGCGACTGCTGATCATGATGTTCCAGGTTTAAATAGAATAGAATAGAATAATTTTTATTCAATATACATTACATGTGTAATTCTTATTGAAAGTCATTTTTTACTTTACCACTGGTTCGAAAAAACCCTCTGTCCTGGGAAGAACCAGCAAGAAACCCAGCGGGACTTTTAAAAAAAAATAAATTTTACAATATAAATGATTACGAACTATTTACAAAATTTATTTTAGAAACTGCTTGGAAGCGACCACCTCATTTCCAGGGGTTATTATCAACCATGTATTCATTTATACTATAATAACCCTTTTTATACAGTTTCAGCTTAATAAAACATTTAAACTTGGTAATAGAGAGAACCTGTACACTTTCCGGGACCTTGTTGTAATAGCGTATACATTGCCCCAAGAATCAATTAAAGACTGTGGAGTCGAGAAACTGGCATTACTAGCTTGTGTTTATTCCTAGTTTTTACAGAATGTATATCACTTTTTTTACTAAAACTATCTTTGTTTTTGTGAACATAAGTATATTAAATTTTCGTAAATATACTGAGAGGCCAAAGTTAATATATTTATTTCTTTCAATTTATCTCTAATTGTCTAATTTAATTCCGGGTGGGGCCAAAAAATATTATTATGTTTTCTGTCAAGAAATATTCAATAGCTGACATACACCTGTGCTTGCGCATACACTTGGGAACTATAATCTTGCCTTGTGCAGACAGCTACTCTCCTTTGCGGATGGCCGCCGTGACCGAAATTCGGTCAGGAGAACATTGTTATAGTTATAAACTGAACGATTAAAAAACTGCTTTGATTAAAAGATTGCTTTGATTCCGTTTTTGTTTCAGAACTTTACTATCATTTTATTTTCGTTTAATTTAATGTAGATAGCTTATTCGAAAGTAGCGAATTAGGGAGACATCTTAAACACAATAATTACTTGCTATTTTGTGTAAAAGTTAAAGTTACAGCCTATACATATATGCCCATATACACGACAGGCCTCTTCTCACTTCTGAGAGTCAGCCGCGCTGTCCCAATGCGTGTTGGCGGATTTTACATGTCTTCGAAATATTTTTTTTTGCTTCGAAATATTTATTTTGTATAGTTAGCGCTAATATTTATTTTATTCAATTAAAAGTAAATCTGTTTCTGAAAATTAGTTACAACTTTTAATAAGTAACTTTTTATAAAGTTTTATTTTAGTTAAGTCAGTAGTTGTTCTTTTATCTTAGAAGTCTGTTTGGGCACCCACATCCATTTCTGCCGCAAAAAGTAGAAGTGATGTGCTGGTTTGGAGCGTATAGAAAACAAGTTTATATGCTAACACAGACTGTAAGGCATGCCATCTTAGTGAGAACAACACATATGTAGCCTCACTGTACGTGGTAGAGTCATGCTACAGCTTTATTAATAGTATAGTTGTTGCACGAATGGGTCGGCTCAACCGGGGAAGTACCACACTCTCACAGAATACCAGCGTAAAATATCAGCTTAATGTTGCTGTGTTTCGTATGGTGAGTGTAGAGAACCGGAGACCCTTTTTACTGGAAATGAGGCATTCTATTCTTAGTCCTCACGGCTCACAACGCATCTGCATTTTAATGCTCAAATGAAGATAGATAGATGTCTATTGGCGACAGCAACCACTTACCATCAGGTGGACTGTGTACTCGTTTGTCACCCTTATTCTATAAAAAAAAAGCCTTCTTTGGTTCAGTTGGCTGAAGGAGTCCATTAATCGTGTAGTTGTATTCCAAGAATATCCACTACTCAATATCATTCTGTGGGTGTTGTAAGATGCGACAGAGGGAAGCAAGCCATGGGATGGGCTGCAGCACCTTTCCGATAGAAATAGAAACATATTGAATATAATAATAATAATATTTTTTATTGATAAGTAAAAATATAGATTATAAATAATACTTATTGAATATGAGAGTGACTCTCTTATGTTTATTTAGCACTGGCGGATAACACCTTAAAATAAAAACTTCGGTTGCCAACCCGTCTATCAGGCGTGGCAACTATGGCAGATATCCCCTCTACGGAGGAGGCCTAAGGCCTAAGTCAGCAATCAACTTTTGATAGGCTATAACGGTATGGTCTCTCTAACTGCAGTAGCAACTTAGCATAAGATGGTCTTCAGTTCGTTTGTCACTTCAGTATAATATAAAAAGTTAAAAGTGATAAACGAGCACTCTGCCCACCTGTGGCCTATTAAATACCTAAATCTATCCTCAAATTAAAATGCAGATACCTTGTCACCCCTTGGCACTACGATGAATGAGAAGAGAGAATCTCCCGATCTCATGACTCACTGTGTTCTAAACATTGTTGCAGATCCGTAATTTCGAAATTAATTAATTTTTATTAAAACTTTTCTTAATCCGTTCAATATGGAATTTAACTGCATATAGATTAATATTTTGAATATAATCTATATGCAGTTAGTAATATAACGAACTACAAAATCAAATAGGAGAAATATGAAATAATGATGGATGAAGTTTTCATTCTACGAAATATGATTTATTTGTTTATGGTTTAATATTTTTGTATGCGGTATACGGTAATTTCAACAGTAATTTCAAATGCTATGTCTTTTGCCAAACGGGACCGAGAATATAGGACAATTTCTTTGCGACCTCCATTAGTGTCATTACAATGTACCCGCGAAGAACTGTTACTGCAAATTGCTTTTTTGTTTGTCCTTAATGTGTAGTTTGTTCTAATTGTATAATTATATTAGAAAATCATTTTTGTTATTTTTAGTAATTTTTATAACTGTTATACAAGTATAATATATCACATTATTTGACGTAAAAGTATTATCATAAAAATGTTTCATAAAATCTTACACACAAATTTTTTTTAATATTTTTTTTTTATGAAAAATACTAGTAATGTTATTAAACATTACTAATATTCCCTTTAACCACTTCTGGTAAGCTTAAAATGCTTGTGTTAGAAGTGGTTCACGACAGTAGTCGAATGGCGGATTTGAACCCACGACCTTTCGAGTTCGCGATCCGCGTCCTGCCATTAGGCTACTGACGCTTCTGTATGTTAAAATGCCGTTTTAATCATGCCATTTATAATACATATATACCTATTTAAAATGAAAACACTATTCATTGAAATCGGTAATTAAAGTAGTGTATAATAATTAATAATTTTATTAATTTTTTAATATTATTTATAATTTATTTAAATATAATAATCGGTAATTACTTATGACATGGGCAAAAATATTCAAGTACTATTATAAGCATTTACTAATTATGATTAAAATTGAATAGTTTAAGGGAAAAAAAGGTTTTGTGTTATCTGATGCCCATAATATCGTCCCAATTTAAAAAAAATAAAATTAACATATTTCCTTTAACATTTACATTTTTCTACGTCTACCAACGGTGAATTCATTTCACATTCCTATTCTCTCAGCGAACAAAATTCATGGGTGGCGGCGAGGAATGCAGTTAAAATAATACCTATTGTACGCCGTGACATGACTCGCGAGGTATACCGGGGCAAATTTTTATATCTCCACGCAGCCCGCCCTCGGCTTTGACTATGCAAATAATAAATGTCATAATATTTTCAGCGGGATCTATTACTTGTGCTCCGGATAAATCCTTGTTTGTTTGCGGGACACGACCATGGTGTTTTTAATTATTTTCCTTGATCGTTTCAAAGGAATGGCGCAGACAGGCGTACATAATTAAAAGAACGTGCGTTGATTTTCGATAAGGACTTCCTGGGCTGTATTAAGTTTTGTTTGATATTTTTTAGAACAAAATATTCGTAGCATATTTTAAACGTCATTTACATTTCTTATCGTACTCATCTTTAAGAGTCCTTCACAAGTTTTTTTTTTATAAAATAAAGGTGACATACGAGCACATTGTCCATCTGATGGTAAGTGGATCCTGTGGCTCATAGATATTTACATTTATCCTACATTAAGAATCAAAATGCAGATGCGTTGTCACCCCTGAGGGATTTGGTGGAATGCCTCGTTTCCAGTAAAAATGATCTGCAGATTTCTACACTCATCATACGAAACACAGCAGCCTTAAGCTGCTATTTTATGCTGGTATTTTGTGAGAGCGTGGTCCTAACCTGGTCGAGCCGACCCATTCGTACTCAATTTAGTGAAAAGTGTAATATATCCATTTCCATTTTCTTGCAGCTTTCTTAAAAAAATATGATTTTGATGGTTTGGACTTGGACTGGGAGTATCCTGGAGCTGCGGACCGCGGAGGCTCCTTTTCTGACAAGGACCGCTTCCTGTACTTTGTACAGGAACTGAGGCGTGCCTTCAATAGGGAAGAGGGAAGAAACTGGGAACTGACTGCTGCGGTGCCTCTCGCTAACTTCAGACTGATGGAAGGTTACCACGTACCGGATCTTTGCCAGTGAGTGATTAAAATATGCGCGTTTTCCAATTCTAGGTTTTAAACTTTCGCTGTCATATGAGAAACTCTTACTTTTTCATTCCATCCTCCTGTCCTAATGTCTAGCAGGAACTTTTTTGGTCTTACTACTTATAATCAAACTATAAAAAAAATAAAAATTGCTAATTTTTTTTTACAATATTTTCTTATGAATCCCATCAGGTCTTTCTACTGTTCCGATTATTATACTGACATAAAAAATCGTGTTAAATGAGTTTTTTTTTTAAATAAATGATGTACCAATACATATTCATTCTTTTGTTTATCTTTTCAAACTATCAAAGTTCTACTGCTGAACTCGTTACTGCCTCGCCCTCATATTTACACATACGTCTATAGAATCGGTGGAAAAGATATATCTTATCTGAAGAATAATATTATAATATATTGAAAAAGTTAGGATTGAACGTTTACGGATTACCTTATTATAAGTGATCACCTTCTCCCATGAACATCTGCAACATCAGGGCAATTGCTGGTGCATTGCCGGCCTTATAGAAAGGACTAGGTACGAAAACATATGCAACAGTAGCATTTAAACTTTCAATAACACTAGTAGAGGTAATCCGCATACCGGAACCCTTCCTAACGCTTGCTCCAACCCACACTTGGCTTGTTTTGTATTTACATTTTTTTCGAGTTTGAATTAACTTATTAAACAGATGAAACTATACTTTTATTACATTGGATACAGGATTTAATTAATTGGTACCTACTATCAACCTTATTATAATCTAATATATAAAAATTAAATTTTGTTTGTTCGTATTTTATGCGTTGCCATACTGCTCATCAGACTGCACAAAAACTTTGTCGACTTATCGCTTGCACTTGCGCGAAGGTTATATATCATACGAGTAGTACAATTAACTTACAATAGATGGCATGCGTATCGCACGGACAAATTTTGTTTTTTAAGTTCCAAATTTAAAACTATGTTTATGCAATTGTTTCTTCTGCCGCAGCTACGCGCGGGGTACCAGCTAGTAATATATAATACTAACATATTATTAAATCATTAGTATATTGGCAGTGTAAGTAACTTTACTCTCTATTTTTCCTTGGATGTCGTAAGAGACTACAAAGGAAAACAACCCAGTAGATGAGTAGTACCTTCCTCCTACTATCAACTATAAAACAAAAATGAAGAAAAAATAAACAGTAAATAAAATTTATTTATTTCACTGTAATTCTAATACACTGTAAATAAATAAATTCCGTAAAGCTACTTCTTTATTCGAAATTCCATCTTAGCCCTTAGGGGTGACGAAGCATCTGCATTTTGGTACTTAATCGAAGATAAATGTCTATGCACCTAAGTATCCAGTCAGGCGGATTATGTGCTCGTTTGTCACTGTTATTCTATAAGAAAAATCAAAGCCTAAATTTCACTGAGCAATAAATTTCAACATTTCCAAGGAGTCATTTCATCACCACACTAATGTTGTTACAACAGTTATAAAATTGGAGAGCGCAATTGAAATTTTAATGTTCGTAATACTCGCTTTCTTCAAAACTTTGCTACATTGACATTTTTCCGCACTCGAATATTTTTCATCCTGTCAACAGAGTTCTTAGGGATAAAAGGACTTGAGTGGAACTTAATTATTTATGAAGTAATTAACATTATCCCCATAATAGCGCTTATGCTTCCGTTAAAGATAAGTACTTATTTATGAAGACCGCATGTTTTTATTTCTTAACAGGTTTTTAAAATGTCGCACAATAGGTGTTTGTACTACTTGTAGAAAATATATCTTCATCATTAAAGGCTAATTATTAATTTGCACTATACATTTTTATTTTTAAGTTATTAGTTTATTTAATTGAAATTATAGATTTTTTTTAAATTTTATTATACTTACATGGTATTTTTTAAGCTTTAGATTAAAATAATTTTTACTTTTATCTAAAACTAAAAAAAGTAAAAGTAGGTATCTTTTATAAATTGTGACGAGTGAATTTAATGTAATTTATTCTCTTTGTTGAAAAACTAATAGAGTACCGTCGAATAAAAATACTTTTACGGATTTCATCGCGTTTAATTATACTTATTTTTAATTATCGACGATTCGGGTGCTTTCCAGCACCCATGGAGACCCACCAGCGATCACGGGGGACTCCAAGGGTACTAGAAAGCAGCCGAAACGTCGGGTATTAAAATAAGTATAATTAAACGCGATAAAATCCGTAAAAGTAGTTTTATTCAATGTTTAGTGTTCGGGTAAATATAAGAAATCATTAGGTACTGTCGAATTTTCGTTTCATTACGTACAGGCAATTTCAATCGGTATAGGTAGTAGATCCATGCAGCAGCTATATTATGATAGCACTAACACGAATGGGTTGGCTTGACCGGGGAAGGAGCACGCTCTCATAGAATATCAGCATAAAATAGCAGCTTAATGCTGCGGTGTTCCTTATGACGAGTCTAGAGAACTGAGATCCTCTTTACTAGAAACGAAGCATTCCATCTTAGTACTCAGAGGTGACAAAGCATCTGCATTTTGATATTTAATCGAGATAAGTGGCCCATATACATCTACATCTATCTTTGTTTGCGAATGAAAATGCAGATGCGTTGTCAGCCGTGAGGACTAAGATAGATGCCTCTTTTCCAGTAAAATGGGTCTCCGGTTCTCTACACTCACCACAAAAAACACAGCAGCATTAAGCTGCTATTTTACGCTGGTGTTCTGTGAGAGCGTGGTCCTTCCCCGGTCGAGCCAACCCATTCGTGCTACAACTATACTATTAATATAGCTGCATCATGGCTCTACCACGTAAAATTTGTGTGTGTGGGTGTGTCAATTTTTTTATTTTCTTTTTACTTTACCCTTTCATGAGGTTATTTGTTTTTTAATGTGTAATTCTTGTATATTGTGACACTGGAAGATTACTGACGTTTACAGCTCAGGTTTTCCTATTGTAAGCGTCAGCTGAAATACTGCTGTGTAGAACAAGTTTTAATTTTGTATTTTTTGTTTAAGGAGCAAATAAATTTATATTACCTATTATTATGGGTTATTTATATAGTTTTCTAATCTGTTTAGACTGTATAAATATATAAATGAAAACGATAAATATACATAAATATCAATAAAATATAATAAATACATAAAAAATAATTAAATAAATGAAAACCCAACCAGATGGAAGCCCTCGGCAGGGGAGACCAAACGGCCGAGGGTTAGGGCGAAAGGGAAAGAAACCGGTTGACGATATTGAGGAGCACTGCCTTTTACATTTGAGCTTGGAGCGGTCCGTCACGGAATCCTATCGCCTCAGATGACCTGAGAGGTTGACCAGGATTAGCCTGTTCGCAGAAACGACAATTTCCGCCGGCAGACCACCCCTCATGTCCGTCACCTCGTGAACCAGGACCAGATTTTGTCCGCTTTTCTGTAATGTCGACCAAAAATATCCTTGACTGTACCTGGTCCACCAGCACAATATCAGGCTTATTCGCAAGAAAAACGCTTTCGCATATACTTGGACACCATAGTCCTGTCCTGCATAGTTGGCAAGTCTTCGTTAAGAGTGGTCGCCGTAACCAAAATTCGGTCAAGGGAACATTATTCAATCCTAATTCAAGACATTGTTAGCTTAATGCCATGTTACCTTACTAAGCCAATATACTATATTTTATAAATCATTTATCAACAGGGAATTAGACGCCATTCACGTCATGTCATACGACTTGCGGGGCAACTGGGCCGGATTTGCCGATGTACACTCGCCTCTCTACAAGCGTCCTCACGACCAGTGGGCTTATGAGAAACTAAATGTGGTGAGTGTGATAGCAGCCTAAGCCCGGCTTACAATAAAATGACGATGTACATTTTGCTTTGTTCGGCTTGCTAGAATTTGACGATAATCCCGAGTGGAGAAAGTTGCTCCCGTTTGTCGTTCATATTTAATTTATACATCTATATAAATAAAATTGAAGTGTCTTTCTGTATATTGGAACAACTGGCTTGTATTAAGCTAATGGGGTTAATAAAGATATAAATAAGCATTTGCAAAATTTTTGTTTGTCCGTCGGCCGAACCAATTTTGACGAAACTTTACAAATTGATACAGAGAAATGCCAGGAGGAATCTAGGCTATAATTTTATTGGAAAAACCTGATGACAATTTTTTTTTTGAAAAAAAAATTAAACTTGTTAAAATCACGGTCTAAATATTTAAATAATGCCACATTTACACAGATCACGCACATTCACATAGATTCTATCCAGGCGAAGTCGGGGCGGGTCGCTGTAATAAAATATCTGTATGGTTATTAAAAAAAAAAACTCTTCTTACGATATCCACGGGATGATATGGGGTAGTAGATATTCTCACATCACTACTACACGTCTTATAATCCTATAATAAACACTTCAAAGAAAATATTATGACCTACATACGAGTACATAAAACTACTTTTGACATGATTCGTCTTAGCTTAAAGGCTAAGCGCGTGCTTTGTTCAGTATGCGAGCAACCAGTGATGGACCCCCACCAGCCACCAGCTTCAAATTGTTAATTGCAATTTTAAATGCAGATTTACGACGTTCTCGGTGGTGAAGGATAACATCGCGATGACATCTGCACGTCTAAAAAATAAAAAAAAAATAGCATACACGTGCAGTCCGTCAACACGCATTGGGTCAACACGGTGTACACTTTCATGCCCTAAAACCCTGTTAGAAATAAGAGGAGGCTTGTGTCCAGGAGTGGGTTGTAAATAGGCTGTAACTTTACTTTTAGAACAAAGATTGAGTGCAAATACAATTCCTAATATTCTACAAAAATGTAAAGTCATTCATTTCCTTTTTTTTTTCAGAACGACGGACTTAATCTGTGGGAAGAAAAGGGCTGCCCGTCCAATAAGTTGGTCGTAGGCATTCCGTTTTATGGTCGTTCATTCACATTGTCCGCGGGCAACAATAACTATGGTCTGGGGACTTATATCAATAAAGAGGCTGGAGGAGGCGATCCTGCCCCTTACACTAATGCAACTGGTTTTTGGGCTTATTACGAGGTAAGGATTGCTTTTTATTATATTAAAAAATATTTCGTTTCTAATATTAATAAAAGAGAAGGTAATAAAAATGTTTGATCACAGCCAGCACAGTAAAGTTAACTGCTCATTTAGCACATGTTCAGCGGGGAATTAATGAGGAAAATTGTAGTAAATCCTGTAACCTGACTGTGAATTAAATTGAAAAAGTTTCAAGGATACCTAAAGTGGCAGACTTTTTTTCAAGCATATATTGGGACAGCGCGACAAGATAAAACACAGTCGGGAATGTGAAACGGACTTCTACCGAACTGTTTAATGTGTATAGGCTTAACTTTTTTATTAAAAAGGGATGAAATCGGTCATGGCCTCATCACTAAATTATCATAATTAAGAATGTCTTATCACAGACTGTACTTAAATCAATTATGTAGGTACTTGATTGTTTATCTTTATCTTTACTCATATAAAAACCTGCGATGTGCGTGTGTTCGTAATTCTTCTCCTCCTCGACGACTTGGCCGATTTTAATGGTTCAGTTATAATTGGACCCGGTAGGTGGCGCTGTTGTCTAGATCTAGAAATCACCCGTGCAAAGCCGGAGCGGACCACTAGTGTTTACTGAATACTAAAAAACAGTATAAAAGTGAAAACATTATATTATACTTTCTAGTATTATTATAATATTTAAAATGGGGTTTCGCCTTTTTATATTGTCTAAATTAACGTTCGATATTTTCGAGATCATGACATTTCATAGATAAAAACAACTTCTACCGCCCAGAAAATAATCTAGATAGTAGACTCAGAAATAGTATTTAGATAAGTGCTTTAAGTTTATTTGCTTATACACGTTTTGCTAAGACATGCAATAAATATTTAAATATTTCATAAGATTATTCTTAAAATGTAAAAGCCTAGTATACATACATAGTATTGGATGTAGCAAATGTATTTTTATAAGATCACTGTGGAAGTAACGATAAAGAACAAAAGAGCTAAATTGGTTAACCTTTAAGTAGAACTTGAAACCCAACTTTGATAAGTCAATTAAAAACGTATCTGACCTTCGGTCTAATTAATCCTCTTACTTTTCGGAAGTACGTTATTTTATTATCCACGTGTAAATAAAGAACAAAGGAACTTGCTACTTAATACACTATATCCTTGTTATTGCTTGTTTTGTAAAAAGTTCATTAATTATTGTTTAATGTGTTCCCATTTAGATCTGTACCGAAGTCGATAAAGAAGGATCAGGCTGGACTAAGAAATGGGACGAGCACGGCAAATGTCCTTACGCTTACAAGGGCACCCAATGGGTCGGATACGAAGATCCCCGTAGCGTAGAGATAAAAATGAACTGGATTAAGGAGAAGGGATATCTCGGAGCGATGACCTGGGCAATCGATATGGACGACTTCAGAGGCCTCTGCGGGGAGAAAAATCCCCTAATTAATTTGCTCCACAAACACATGAGCTCCTATAACGTCCCCCCACCACGTACCGGTCACACCACCCCTACCGTAAGTATTAAAGTTAAAGAAAACAAAACGTTTTCGATTAGAGTTAGACAAATATTGGTGATGTTTGCACAGGGATTTATTAAGCTTACGACTTTTGGGTATATGAGCGAAGTAAAGTAACAAGAGACGGGTATTATTGTGTCAAAATATGTTGGTAATGGACGGGCGATAAATCGTGCACGGACAAATGGTTGGTCATTATTCATTGTGATAAAATCGCAGCCGGAGTGGGCGCGGCCGCCGTCGACGACTTACGATCCGGCAGAGGGCGCCCTTGTCACCACAACTACGACTAGCGCCCGACCCACTACGTCTAAGGAGACTACTACATCCACAATGTTGACATCGACTACAACCAAAGCAACGTCAACTACGGAAGCGGTCACTGACGCCCCGCAATCAATTAACAACAAACCAGAGGAACCGCCAACGGTACTTACTTATTTTTATTAAGTACTTACTGATCTATTTATTAACATTCAAATCATAACATGCTCGTAACTTCTAGCTTTACTTTCTGAAACGTTCTACTTTTATTCGTTATTTGGGTACACTTTTTATATGTGCATAAAATTATTCGACACATTTCCTCACGGTTTATTTAATGTATTATATATAATATTATAATAGTAGGCCGTGTAGTGGAGGTGTAATAATAACCACCACCCCATATCATTCCATGGGTGTCATAAGAAGCGACAGAGGGAAATTGAAACAGGCAGCATCTTCCAACCCGCTCGCCAAGCGTGTCAACTACTTACAGCAAAATCCCGTCTATGAGCCAATCTTTGAGGGAGGCCGATGTTCAGTAGTAGATTTTTATAGGCTGTAGTGGATGAATATAATATCAGGATTATTTCTTCAAATATTTCAACTAGTAATAGTGATTTAGTCGATTGAAATGTGTATCTGTAATGAAAAATATGTATTTACTGTGTATTGTTGTAATAAAAAATTTGTTTGGTAATCACAATTTTTATGATAAATCACGTGCTTGAAGGTAAAGTAAAACACTATTAGTAAATTTGCATGTTTGAGAAACAAATATATTTAGAGATGGAAAATCCGTAAACACTCGTTGGCGGTAGCGCGGCAGAGACAAAACCGTCACAAAAATAAGAGAATAAGGCCTCTGCCCAGCCGTGGGATGTGTATACTATATGGGTGATGGGACTCTTACGTCGCTACCTTACGGAAATATTATGCTCAATTATATCGTTATTCTTTCTTTGTCACTAAAAGTATTGTTATGTTTTTTCTGGTCTATTCTCTCCCATCGGTTGCCGGTTCTTCGAGCTATATGACCGGTCAATTGCCACCACAGCATAACAATCTGTTGGGTTATATTGTTAAATTAGTTTTACTGTGGAGGATATCCCTACGATGTCTATCACCTAGAGGAACTTCGAGTATATGAGCTACTTTGAGCTTCTTCATACAGCCAACAGTGAAAGATCATGATGTCCCAAATCCATATATATAATGTCACCACTGGCAATACGTACTGGTTGTACTCTATTGTTTTCGTATACGTGACTGTGTTTGAGGTATAGGTACGTGACGCGAAGACGTGACGTAATGCCCCGAACGCTGCTACCAACTAGCTTTATTTAACTAATCAAATTTAATTTTAGTAGTACTAATGAAATTAACGTTTTAAATTATTTCTTTCTGATAGGAGAATGAGGTGGACAACCCTGATGTCTGCGATGCGGAAGACGATTACGTTCCAGATAAGAAAGCCTGTGATAAGGTAGGATAAAGTAGAAAATAACTAAATTTACGAGTATTATAAAAGTAGATATCTCTCCTCCACACGTGAATACAATTTTTTTTCAGTTAACCAAATAGTTTCTTAGAAAAAAGAAGAAAAAATTATTTATATTCCCGATGACGATCAACCATAGATTTTAAATCAGAATGCCAGCTGGTGTTCGATAAGTGTTCGACAAAAATAAAAATTGTTTAGTTTTGGGCCTTGTTGTATTGTTTGTTACATACGCGGGGACATTCTTTGACATTACATCATAGCGTATTTCTGATCTTAGCGCACAAGCGTTACCTTAGCCAATGGTAGGTTACGAAGATCAGTGTTTCCGTGATAACGCGTATTCTTAGGGCACGATAATAACGATCTCATGCGCAGTTGGTATCTTCCTAGAGTATTCGAAATTTTTTTACGTCATTGCTCCCGCTGAATCTAAAAAAGTTATTGATTTTATAGAATAATGGTGACAAACGAGCACACCAGTCCACCTGATGATAAATAACCGCATGTGTTTGTATAGAATGTTATTCACTTACTTAAATAAACTTTACTGTTTATGTTGTGCCCTATAAAATATTAGATAGTATTTGTACAATCTTTTTTTTTCTAAGTTGTTAAATAATTTCCTAATAAAATCTTCCCTTAAAAATCTCTGAAAATTCACTTTGAGTCTTATCTTTGCTATAATAAAAGCTGAATACTGATTCAGTTTCAAAATTGCATTCTTAACGTATACGAGAGAGTAGGGTCGCCCCCGCATAACCTTAAGCGCCTGACGTATGACACTACATTACCATTACGACCCGTAACGACTCAGTGAATATTTGCATTTAAATTATTATAAGGCGTAACTTCGACACTCAATCCCAGATCTGGTTAAAAATAAATGATTTTTTGTGAAGATACCTATGTTTATAACTGACTGTAATTTAATAAAGTTTTAACTGTTATTTATATCGATTAAATATTATGTATTAATTAATATTATGTATCGTTTGTAATACCTAATATCTATAGAATAAATTTTTATGTAAGTTCAGGTTTATAGTGACATATGTATATACTTATATTAATTTTATTTATATAAAAAATATTTAATCTATTGATCTGTAAACTAATTATTTTCGGCTTTTTACTTAATAAGTATTGATTATACTTTAATACCGTTCTAGTTATTTACTCTTATGTGTAGTATTAAAAATAAATTAAAGGATTTTCGCGTTAACTCATACATTTATAATTTTACAGTACTGGCGTTGTGTTAATGGTGAAGCGGTGCAGTTTACTTGCCAACCAGGAACCGTATTCAACACCCAGCTTAACGTTTGCGACTGGCCCCAAAATGCTAAGCGCCTAGACTGCAATTAATTTCTTACAAAAATCATACGAAACACGCTCTAGACATTATAATGTTTACGTGATTTTCAAATACGTACCTTGTAATTCTCGAGCATGTTTTAGTAATAATGCAGATAACGTTGAAATTTTATTTACTACGTTTTGTTTAACTTTATTGTATTTTTATTTTATCGTTCGTTAAAACGGTTTCAGAGTCGCACTTAATACATTTAATTTTCCAATTGAATATTTACGGTACTGAAACTGCTTTTACGATTCCGAGGAAGATTTCGAGCTAAAGCAAATCTTCGGTGCTCAAACTATATGCCTCGTAAAATATATTACTCCGACTTCGTTGTTTTAAGACTGTACAAAGCCGCTTGAACTCGACGCGAAACTAACTCTAGACAACCTAAGGATATTACATAATGATACACGTTTTCCTTTAAGTCTTCGTAGTTTTAAACAACATAAAGCATTTATCTAAGCAAGGTATTTTGAAGTAATTTTCACAATGATTTTGCGTGAGTTCGCGGCTCTTTTTAATGTTTAAGTTAATTTAAGTAATTGAAATTGTTAATTGAATTAGCGAATACTTATAAATAATAATCTAGTTTAAATAAGTTGAAGAATGAAAACATCATTACACTGTCAGTCTGGGAGCAAGAAATTATATTTTATCTCTTGTAGATAATTCGTTTGGAGCCAAGAGCCAATTATAGCTCTCGGCTTCCGTTGAATTTAAATGGATTTTCCCGCGACTCGTCGGAAATAGACTCCGCTTCACTCTTTTAGGTTAATATATTTATGTTCCAATAAAATAGTGAATGGAAATAACTGAGTTTTATTTAAGTTAACTTTTATCTAAGTTTGCTCCGGTCGTAAATTCTTAAGAGATGAATTGTTGCTGGCCTTAGATATTTACCATAGTTGCCACGCTTGGCAAGCGGGTTTGAAACTGCAGTTTTTTTATTTTAGTCGTTATTAGGAAGACTTCTGTCCATCTCCTAATTTGTTTCCCTCTGTCGCCTCTTACGACACCCACGGGATAATATGGGATAGTGTATACTTATGCTTACACCGCCCCTACATGATAAATTTATTTTATGAAAGAAAACAATTCAGTTAAATAGTTTGAAAGCGGTGAGCGACTTACGGAGATTCAGTAGAAATATGGCGTAATGTTCATGTTAAATAGTAGAGATAACATGTTACACAATAAATAATAGTAACAATAAGTAAGTAATCTTAACTTACATAACACTAAAGTATATACAATATTAAAAAAAACAGTAATGCACTGCACCTCTGTGGTAATAGCAATACATTGAGCACAAGGAGGTTAGGCAATGAGTGGTCTCTACTAGCGCTTGCATATATGGTACTATTATATCACCAACATAATTTGCAGCTCCAGGCAGTATTTGGAAGTTCCTGTGGTCGAAATTGGGTAGGAGAGCATGACTAATATATTACGGAGTAATAACTCATTTTGTTGTTGTTTTAAAATTAAGTGGCACTTACTACTCTCTGCGCTAAAATAAATTACAAGTGCAACCAAAATGTAAGAAGAGTCGACAGCTCATTTTCCTGCGGCTTCAAAGGCATTGTTAATATTAATTGGGTATTTATCAGACCTAGCAGAATAATCTAAAGAAGCTTTAATTTAGCGGTCTTATTCATAAAACAACTTAAAGTGCGTTTATAAAATATCATGACTCCCGTAGGAAGGATTGGAAGTATGGCGGAGTGCCACATGAGTGAAATTTTATGTTTTAAGTGATACAGTTCAGAATTTCTTTAGAGTTTTTATTGTCTACATTTTGCAGTAAACAATGGGGAGTAAGTATCCATGACTTTAAAGAAAAGTAAATTCTTTTTGAGATTGTGTTGGTCTTTCCATATCCATATGGAAAGACCCACACAATGGTCTTTCCATATCCAATGGAGTAACGTTATCAATAAGAACGACATTTTAAATTTCTCAGGTTCAGCAAACGACTTTCAGTAATTAATCATACTTTTAAAAATGTCAAGCTTGATAGTAGCCTGCATCCTGCAATTCAAATCTAAAAACCGATTAAAATTAATATTTTAGATTTAATTTCTAACGAATACATTTTAGCTAGCAACATTTAAACGTTACGACTGGGGGAGGACCACTCTCTAACAGAATACCAGGGTAAAATAGTAGACACAGCAGGTTTAAGCTAAACCTGCTGTGTTTCGTATGGTGAGTGTAGAGAACCGGAGACCCTTTTTGCTGGAAAAGAGGCATTCCATCTTAGTCCTCACGGGTTACAACGCATCTGCATTTTGATTATTTATTGAGGGAAGATGTAGATGTTTATGGGCCACTTATCATCAGGTGGAATGTGTGCTCGTTTGTCACCCTATCCTATAAGAAAAAGGTAGCACACGATATAAATTAAAGATGGGTAGGTGAAGACGTTATGATTTTCCTCTGAGAATGAGCGCATCTCATGGGGCGAAATGAATAATGTAATATTAGTCATATCTATAATTTTTATGTAATATATTTTATCAAATCAATATAAAGAAATATATGGGTTCATTTACTTCATACGCCTATTGTATAAGCTCTAGTCACGCATAGGAGCTGACACGCACATTTTTTAAATAAGAAGTGATTCTGATCAATACTTGACCATTTTGAGTCGAAATCCTACCTAAAGTGTGAAGAACTTGTACAATACAATAAATAAAGTGTATTTCATGTAAATAATTAAAATGTCACATAACTACATTGTGCAAGTATAAAGTGCGAAATGAATAAATTGACGTCTAATTGTAGAGACTATTATGGCAAATTTTGTTAGTAGAGAAAGATCTCCCTGAAGAGTAGTCTATTTATATATAAATTATTCGGAAATAAATTAAAAAAAAACTAAAAAAAATTGGGCTCGTCCGGGATTTGAACCCGGGACCTCTCGCACCCTAAGCGAAAATCATACCCCTAGACCAACGAGCCGGCTGTGCAGTGATACGAATTAATTTAATTCATTCACATTATTGGATACGTTTAAAAAAGTGAAAGGTTGTATCACATAAATAAACTTGTATAACGTTCCGCTGCGTGATAGATCAAAGAATTTGTGAGATATTCGCAATAGAGACAGAGTACCGACATTGCCCAACGGATCAGTAAATGATCTGAAGTGGCTATTGCATTCTTAAATAAATTGTTTTACTTAGACTTTGGTTATTTGGAGTCGAAACGTTTTTTTATTTTTTTATAGGATAAGGGTGAAAAATGAGCACACAGTCCACCTGATGGTAAGTGGTTGCTGCGGCCCATAGACATCTACATCGATCCTCGTTTGCGAATCAAAATGTAGATGCGTTGTCACCCGTGAGGACTAAGATGGAATGCCTCATTTTCAGTAAAAAGAGCCTCCAGCCACCTGCACTCACCAAGCGAAACGCAGAGGTAAACCTCTACTTCACGCTGGTATTCTGTGAGGTCGTGGTACCACCCCGGTTCGAGCCGGCCCATCCGTGCGACAGCAATTCTGCCGCGTGGTTCTACCACGCGGCAGAATTGCTGTCTTCAAATAAAAATAGAAATAAACTTCAAATAAAAATAAACTTAGTTATTTCATTATCGTTTAAATAATTGTGATTGAATTGGTGCCTTGTCTATTTTGATACGATATGGGTTGATGATATGATTTCTTAGACATATTAAGTAAATACGATATTATTTTTTGCATCTGCATGCTGCTATATAATATAATACTTATATAAAATAAAAGAAATATAAATAAAAGAAATAACTAAATTAGTAATTATTGTGGTTGTTTAATGATTGTATTGTAGTTTTATTATTTATTTGTAAATACTTTTCTCAAAGTTTTGGAGTTTGTATATCTAGGACAAAAATCCGATTAGATAATTTTTAACTCACACCTAGGATAGTATATTCCTATCCTGCGAACTCGGCAAATTTTTAGAAATAATAACACATCTCGATCGATATAATTTAATATCATAAAAACGTGTTCAGTCACATTTTGCCAGTGACTAAGGTGACGACTTGCGAAACTGAGATGTGATCCTTCACTGATGGCCAAGCTAATATGAGATTATGGAGATACTCAATCTAACAACATTAACTGACATAACGGAACACATACAATTTTGTAGGGGCAATGGGTATGCCATGTGGCTCGAAAATGTGATAACCGTCTGTAAAGGAAGGTTCTCTAGTGGCCTCTTTCGATAAACGCAGTATATGGCGACCCTCTACTTTTTGGAATAACGACTTGATGAAGCTTGCAGGAAAACGACTGTTGCTAGTGCTCTTTAAAATGTAATAGAGCACCGAAACTGCTAGATAGTAAGTTCAGAATGAATATAAAATTTAGGTAAAAAGTCATACTGTCAAAGACCAAAAATCCATCCAAGTGGCACTGGCCACTTGGGTTTTAAGTATGGCAAGACGAGAGCTTGAACTAGCACAAACTATATATGGGAGATATAGATTCATACGATATGAGTGATCTTGAGCTAGCAAAAATCTTTGAGGAGCAGATTATTCGCAATTTTCCGAACGCTTTTAAATTTAATAAAACAATTCTCTTAGGTCGGCATATTTCAAAGGGGACTTCAGGGTGTGTATGTCACACGTGCACGTACACGTAGCGTAGCGACTAGTCTGTGGGCATTGGACTTCAACGGGCCGATGATAAAGTAAAAGATATCTAACTATTAGGTTGTATATGTTATACAAATAAAGGCTGTGGTATTCAATTTAATTAAATTCAATTTATTTATCTCTTCACATCTTACTGGCTGGATAACAATAACGATGTACATAGTAAGGCCTAGTGTTGTGAGCGTATGGTATGGATTTTTTTGTAGAATAATTGTGACCAACGAGAACACAGTCTAGATGATAGTAAGTGGATGCTTTGGCCCATAGACATATATCCTCGATTTAAAATCAAAATGCAAACGCGTTGTTAACCCTGAGAACTAAGCTGCTATGCCTCGTTTCCAGTAAAAAG